TATATATATATATATATATATATATATATATATATATATATATATATATATTTAGCATATTTAGAAATAAATTAGTAATAAATTATATATATATGTACATATATTTTTTTTTAATTAAGGAAAGTTTTTCAATTTTATGCAGAATAAATAATTTTAAAAAAATATATATATATACATATATTCATATATTATTTTTAATTTTATACAGCTACAGAATAATTCTAATTCTAAAATAATTATATATTGTATAATTATATCTAGATAAAAAAAATCAAAGCAGTCAACAACAAAGTTTCAAGAATTTATAAGCATACATCTATACATATATATATAAACGAACAGCTTAAAATTAAAAAAATAATAAGTTATTTTTCTTCCCTTATATTTGAATGATTGAAAAACTTCGTTTGCGTCATTTTTTCTAACATTCTCTTATCTTGACTACAAATACTTCTATTAGTACCAGTACTAGTACTAGTAAAGTGCTTCATAGCCGGCTAACTTCTAGATAATTTTTAAAACAAAAAATAAAAAAAAAGTAAAATCATATCTATATTAAAGTTGTTCTCCCATATCATATTTCTACACCACAGCAACAACAAAGGACAGAACAAACAACTTGATTCAATCGAGCTGCGATAATCACAACAAATTACACAGCCAAACATTGGGAACACGGCCAATAAAGTTATCAAACCACTTGACGGTCAACAAAGACGGAAAAAAAGAGGGAAACAAAAAAAGAAATACAAATAAAATTACTAAAAATCTACGAAACAGCACGTAAAATTCTCAGGAAAAAATCAGATGCCGCGACAGATTTTTGAATGGGGTTTGTTTGATATAGATGTACAGGCATGAATGTGTATCTGAAATAATAATAAAAATTATGTTGGCGCCATGAATGACAACAGAGACGCGCAGTAATTGGAAACTAAAATTGAAAGATTCGTATTTTTTTTTTTAATTTTTTTTTTAGTTTTAGATTGTCTTACTTTTTGTTAAGGCGGCATGCGACATGCCCAAATGCTGGCATGCTAAAGATAAAGATATTTGCATAATTGCGTGATTCGCATGCCGCCAAATGCGTGAATCATATGTGTCGAGAATATGTTTAATAATTTGTTGCTGTTGCTGCTGCTGCTGTTGTTGTTGTTATTTTTGTTTAAGGAAACTTTAGCTTGAATGGATAGAGAAAAATAAAAACCCAATGAGTCAAGTGACGATTGTCAAGTATGTCATTGATTAGATCATCATAGAACCGCAGACCAATTGATCTCAAACTGTGGGCCAACGAACTGCAACTGCAACTGAAATGCAACAATTGTAGTTGTTGCTGTTGTTGTTGTTGCTGTTACGCGGCATAAATCACTTGAAATGCCGTACGGCTAAACAATGGAGTGGAGCAGCATGGGCATAGCTATAATATCGAAAGAGGAAACACACGCCAGACCCCAGCCACAGATTTAGATACTACTATAAAAACCGTTCATAAGACGCCAACTTTACCTGCTTTTTACCTGCCATGCTCATTTTCCTCTTCATTTTTTTTTCTTCACTCCCTCAGCACAAACATTAGCCAACCAAACCAAATACCGGCCGAGAGCCAATCAAACATGTTCGATCGTTGCACGTTTTGGCATTTATTTGGCTCGAGTTGCGACTCTCTTCGAGTTTGTTTTGATTAATCAAATTACCCAAAGAGGGAAATTTATTTTGTTTGTTTATTGAAATATGTGTTTATAGTTTATAGATAACAGAAATTGGTTACAAGATTTTTTTTAATTAGACAAAAAACTTAAATATGTTATAAATCAATTTGAATTGTTTCAGAAAATGAATAACATTTTATAATTAGTTTTTTATTCATTTTATTTTTAGCCATTAAGAAGTCTAATTTTATTTTAGTAAGAAACATAGAAGAGGAGAAGAAAATATAGGAAATATTTAACGAAAAAAACGAAGACTTTATATCCTTATACACATTTACGAAACTAAATGAAAATATTGGTTATATGAAATGTTCGTCCCTTTGTTCGAAGGTATAAAAACCATTTGTATGTTATCTAACTATAAATATCCTCCAACTAAAATGCATCAAGATGTCCCGATTTGCCTACTATGAAACCATGAAAAGTTAAAATATGGAATATATTTATACGTGACCTGAGCTGAGCTGAGATTAATAAAAGTGGATTTACTGCAGTTTACAGTAGTTCAATGTTGACATCTTATATAGACTTTCAATTGGGGGCGTAGCAAATCGAGTTTATTGCTGGGAGCGTCGCAAGTTGGAAAATTAATCTGACTACATTTGAGTCGTCAATGAGTATTCTCTTTTTTTTGGCTCGTTTTTTCATTATTATTATTATTATTATTAATTTTTTTTTTTTTAAGATTAAATTTAGTTAAATTATTATAGTAATTAATTGTATAAATATAAAATTACATTCCAGGTTTTTGTGAGAGAATTTAAATTTATCCACTTTATATTTTTAATAAAATATATTTTACTTTAATATTAAAATATATTGCATTCTTTTTTTATGATAAACTGTACTTTAGTGTGATATATTTTATAGCCATTTAGAGGAATGCTAAATATTACTAAAAACCATGTGAAATAATGTTTCATTTAAGCTCTCATAACAAAAATGCGTATATTTTATATATTTAAAAAAAAAGCGGTAAAGTAAAATAGTCAACATTGCAATCAAATACTGGGAAATTTCAATTTGAGATACAACCGCAAACGCGAACATGTTCGAACGGCAGCCGCATGCCGATGCATGGCATGCCGAAAGAGATTCGGCCGCAAACCAGTTTTAGTTGCGTGCTCAGTCAACGACGGGCAGCTGGCGTGAACAGTTCGCAGTTCGCTAAACGCAGTTCGAAACGGTTAACGGCTCGACGACGGTCGCGCGTTTGCTTGGCGTGCCAAAAAGCAAGAGCAAACAAACAAACACACACACAGAGCATTGAAAATAAAATTTTGCCAAATCCATTCAAAATTGGTTTTTTCAATCGCAACGCGAAGAAATGCGACGCGGCATTCAACGAACAGCCAAATCAATTCACAAATAAATCAAAGCAAACAAATAATGTATGTGTAGTCAGTTACTAAATATATACGTATGTATATACTATACGCATATGGCGAAGAGAATGAAATTGGTCAGCGGAAATATGACAACACATACAAAACGTGTTTGACATGCCAAAGAAACGCGCCAACTAAATAAATAATAAGCCCAGCGATGACAAATCAACATAATAAACAAATCAAAGAATTATGCACAAGAAATTGGCTCGAACGCACTGCCAGATACATTTGTATCTTTTAGTGTTGTTTGTTGTTGCCTTAACCATTTTCTTGTTTTGTGCGAAAGTAAAAACTACCTGCAACACTTGGGCAACTTGGGCGAGAAACCAGTTTTGTGAAAATTATTGGCCATTGCATTTGTTTTGCTCGATTTTCGTTGTTTCAGTTTAGTTTGTTGTTTTTGCATTTATTTTCTTATTTCTTTGCGACTCGCTCCCCACCTAAAAATAATAACCAGAAATTGGCCATTCAATTGGCTGCTGCTGCTGCTGCTGCTGCTGCAAGTGTTGCACGACGACAGATTCACAAGTTATTGTGCATGTGTGTGTGTGTTTGTGTGCAGCGGTCAGCTGAAGGTGCTGAATTGCAATGGAATCAAGGATTAAAGATCCATATAGAGGGAAACATATATACATATTTGATATAGATATAATTTTCTTTGCTAAGGGATACAAAAAAAAAAAAATGTTTTACATAAAGAAAAACAATTCTTATCATGAGAAAACATTGTTATAATATTTTTTTAGTTGTTTCCTCAATATATTATACAAAGGGCATTTACATAGATTTTTTTGAAAATTATATATATTTCACCGAAAGATTAAATATTGTAAGTTTAGTAAAATTTTAAAATAATTTTTTAGTCTATATAAAAAATAAAAATACACTTAAAAACTTACTTCAAACTTACTTTTCTCATATCTAATTTTTAAACGAAATTATACAGCAAATGATTAAAAAAAAATAATAATTTTTAGAACCAAATATAAATACAATTTTTCGTAATATCTCATTATTTTCTTAAATATCAGAATGATAAATATTTTATAAAACACTTGGTTTGATTATTAAAAAAATAAAAGAATTGTATTTAAGCTTATAGATGTGTATTTATTGCTTAGGGATCTGTTTTTATTTTTCCTTATGAGAAAACTGCCTAAAATGCTGTTATCACATATTTTGATTAAAATCTACATATTAATAGGAATATAATGAAATATTTATAAAATAAATATATAAAAATATATAAAATGAATGAGTAGGATAAAGAAATTACTTAGCAGCTCTCGCACAAAACAAGAAAAATGGGAAATCAGGCAAGAAAATAAAAATCATCAGAAAATATTTAAATGAAATTAGTAAAAAATTATATATTTTTTTTTTTTAATCATACAACAATAAACCAAATTAAAGTCGATTGATAATTGACTCAAAAAATATTGTAAAAAAAATGCTGCCAATAATAAGAAAGATATGCATAAACAATTTGCAATAATTTGAAATTAATTAATTTTATGTACATACATATACATATGTATGTATATACATAAATATACTTTCTGGCACTAATAACAATCAGCTTTATAAGTAACCTCTTGCATAAAACTCAAAAGTGAATTTCGTAATAAATAATCAAATAATTATTATCTTTTCAAACTTCTAGCACACAGTTAAATAAAATTAAATATACAAAAAGTGCGTGAATAATCAACTGCAGTTCTATAACCCATATATATTCATCTATACACTTATACATATATATAACGATCAAAGTGCAGCAAAGAGAACGCTCTCAACAAATCCCAATCTACGCGCCTCAAAACGCCCCTTGAAAATAATTTGTGAAGAGAAAATAGGAACAAAATAACAACAACAACAACCAGCAAAAGCATGCTGATGCACACCACATCGACCACATCGACGGCAACGATGACCAACTCATCCTCCTCGGCCACGCCCACGCCGGGCTCGACATCGTCCAACAACAGCGCCACGCTGGAAACGCTGCAACAGCAGCAGCAACAACAGCAGCAACTGCAACATCAACTGCAGCAATTGCATACGACAACGTCTAACAATTCGCGTCCACCATCCCGAGCGCCCTCCATACTGGACAGTCCGACGCTGGCGCGTGTAGAGCGGGCTCGTCTGCGTCTGGAGCAGCAGGAACGGGAACGCGAACGCAGCAGCCAGCGCAGCAGTCAGGGGGGCGGCGGAGGTGGCAGCAGCAGCGGCACAGGCAGCACAGCGACAACCATGAATCGTGAGGATAGCCTGGAGCGCAGCATATTGGATCCAAAGGTGAGTCCAAGTCCAAGCCACCTTCCAATACACACACACTAAGATATATATACATACATATATATAAATTACAATTAAGTTTCCATCAAGGTTGGATTTAGTGATGTGAAAATGAAAAGATTATAATGTCTGGCATGATATAGGGGCAAAGTCGTAGCATGATTGCAGAGGTAGGTAAGCCACTAAGACAAGTCCTTAAGTCTCTCAAGATTGGGAATTAAATCAATGGGTTTCTTAAGTGGGCAGCCAAACGCAGCAGCAGCCAATGCCTGAAGTGCTGCAGATAAACTTTATCGATCAGCCAATTGATATGAAACTTAATTGAAGAGGTGTCAACAGAGTTTTATATTAAAACATGGAGCTAATGAAACAGGTAGTCTATACTATATAGAATTTAATATAAAAGATATTTTATTGATTATAATTTAAGGGATATAAATATATATACTTAAGATATATATACATATTTGATTGATTAAGTCTTGAGAATAAAATAGATTTATAAGAAATTGTTAGTAAAATATGTTGGCAAAGAAACACTAAGTAAAGTAACTCTAAGTGCATATGATATTACCAATGAAATAAAGAGGTTTATCAAGAAAGAGTAAATATTTTACATTATTTCTTAGGACTGCTTATATAAATAAGCAATTCGTAAATATAAGCGAAATATGTTGAAGTATAAGAACTTTTACTGGATCGTTGGGTTTTAATAACTCCAAAACTTGACTTTTGGAGAATAGGAAAAGAGGCTTACCTCAACGACAATCACAGGAGTTATTTAAAGCGAAGCGCTAAAGAAGAATTTGCTGAAAAAGCTTCTCTGATATAATGAGATAATCTTATCCAACCGGAATTGATTTTAGGCTAATATTTTTTATATATTATCTTTGAGCTATTAGCACATTTTTAAATTTTTGTTACATGCCATTATATGTATATTACCTAAATAAATTCTTCTTGTTTTCACTCATTCATCTATTCACTGATATTATTTACATAATATATTCATGGGCATTAAATCCAATAGCTATAGTTTCATTAGGTCAAATGTGTTCATCGCATGACTGCCATAGTACATGGAATAGATATAATATATATGCGTATAAATATTTAATATAATCATGAAGGAGCTATACTTCTGTGACGCAAATGCTTTTTGTTCCCGATTGAAACGCCTCATGGATCCGTTGGCTCATTTGCAGGCTATAAAACTTGAATTCTACAACCACAGATCAAGCAAAGATCTCAGTCAATTTGGTATTTAAAATTCAGTAATGCCGCTGAGTCATTCAGCCATTTGTCCGCTCGCTATGACAGTTGTTGACAAATCTAAACTGGGTTCGGTTTCTAGCCAAACAGCTGTCTTTTATGCGGAGCAATTTAATTTGAAAGTAACTTTCGATTTATTTTAAATGCCTTGGCTCACCAGTGAATTTGCTTTGAGTTCGATTTAAATTGAAATCTAGTTGAATTTGCCTTAGATTTAAATCAGAATTTGTTTAATTATTTTGATAATATAATTTAAAGATTCATAAATATGAAAGAGAGAATATATCTTTAAAATTTATTAATTTATTTAAATATTAATTTTTTAATTATTGAATAAATTGGAAAATTTTAGAACACAAAAAAAAAAAAAAGAGATTGTGCTAGCTTTTATATTTTACATTTATTTTAGTTAATTAAAGGTTTAATTTTGCTTTTATATTTCAATTCAAAATTTAGTTTAATGTAACCAGAGGAAAGATTTTCTTGTAGCTTTAAATTTGTCAGAAGTCAGAATCAAAACATAAAACTTTAATTTTGGCTCTCTGTCAATCCTCCAGACGGCAATAAATGTCATTTTGGATGTGGCAAATTAGCCGTGGAAAAAAAAAACAAAATAAACAGAAACAGAAACAGAACCAGAAACATAATGCGAGTGTATTCACATTCATTGTCGCTGCTAAACCGAATAAGCCATGTTCACATTTACTTTCTGGCCCTGTGCCTGACCAGCTCTTGACAGCATTTCACTAATGGCCAGAAACCAACTTCATTTTCCCATGCTATTTGTAGCTGTACTGTGCAGATATGTATGTATGTATGTAAATGCTTTTTATTTTGTTATTATTTTGTTAGCACTCTTATCTGTCGGATTTTATCTGAACTGTGCCTATTATCTGAGCCGTTGGCATTGTGCTCTCATCATCTATGTAGCATAAGCTCTTTAAGCTCTGCTTGTTCGTATGTCTTTTAAAGCTTTTTGTACTCTGGTTGTCCTGTTCATTTCCATATTTTCAACAACACCAGCCCTATGTCAACTTGGCCGAAAACAGGTAACATATAAACTTGGCCAGGTAGCTAGCCATGTTTTGTTTGCTTAGGCGGCTCTGCGCCACAAGAAACTAAGATAATGAATTGCAAAAGATACGGTCTTAAGATACGCACTATCGCTATCTATCTATGTATCTATGTATATATCTATGCTGGGTAAACACGGCTCGAAGACGAATCGTTTGCGATTACATGATCGATGGGCCTTCTATGCTTAACCAAAAAGTTCAACACGCACAGTAAATAAACGTGGCGGAAGCAGAAGCTTTGCTTTAGGCTGTTTTCCATGGAATATTATATACCTGAATGAATGTGAATTAATGAAA